TAGAGACTAATGCATCCCTCAATATGACAGAACAACACACACACACACACACACACACACACACACACACACACAGGCACCTCACTTATATAACCGGCTGGCCTGAATGAGTTATTAAGGCTGCTTTATTAGAGCGAGGCAGGTGAGTTATGAAACCCTCCCTCTGGCAGAGTGTGTCGGAGGAACGATGAAAGACGAACAAGACTGAAGACAGAAGGAAGGCGACGCAGGGAGAAGCAGCGGCGGTGGCAGCAGCAGAGGGGTGAGTCGAGGTAGAACAGCCTGTTTGTAGGCCAGTGTGTCACTGCTGCTGCTGCTGAGGAGGAGGAGGAAGAGGAGACAGAACCAGGAGCAGCAGGAGGAGGAGGAGGAGGAGGAGGAGGAGAGCACTGGTCACACTATAGCCGGTTACGTAAACCCCCGTTGGCAGCGTTCGGGACACATCGTGTACTCTCAGCCTCCTCAAACCAACGAAACCTTTTACACCTTTTGCACAAACGTCTGCCGTAACATCATCATCTGAGCTTTCGCTGGCTTCAATTAGCGGTCGCCCTGCGCTGCTTTTCATCGCAGCAACTCAAGCTGAACTGAATGTACTAAATCCTAGTCATTGACTGAATCAGTAGCCTGCAGCAGCGGAGGCTCCCGAACCCGGAGTCTGAACACGTCAGACTTGGCTCAGCCGCCATATACACAGATTATTATTTAGCAGACTGTGAACGCTACAGTTCGTGACAGCCCTTAACCCTCTGAACTCCAACAAGTTTGGTTTCTTAGCTCTGTTTTTACTCACTGTAGTCCTGCACCTCTATGGAGGCAGTAATGGGACGGCTGAAAGTGCAGAGAATTTAAAAACGTCTTGTGTGCAGCAAAACAAAAGAAAGCTAAATTATTTACTTGTCTGTTGTGTACTTGTGTAAACTTTTGTCACATGTAGCCGAGTCATGAATAGTTTACTTGTCATGGATTTTTTAGAGTGTGGTTACCTTAAACCGTTTGTTTTTGGATCATTTTTTAAATGATAATGTAGAATAAAGTGATTTGGACGCAATATAAGGATTTTATTCTTCGAATTGTTTTTATTTTCTAGCACAATGGCACCATTTGAAAGCTGAAAATCTGAGGGTTCTTTGTGTTTTGACAGTTTGTGGCGCTGATAAATGATGCCATTTTGGCATTTTTAAAAGTTAACATGACTCTCAAATGCACTGGTGGGTTGGTTAAGAACAAAATATACCTAACCAGTAACAAACTGAAGGTACAACTCAACTAAAGACTGAACATCAACACCTACAGCACAACATCACACGGTTATAAATGGTGACCAGTGTCGCCAGCATAGACAGTAGTAAGCAAATGAAATAACTCAACAACCTACTCTCTGTGTTTTCAAGAAGTCCTCCCAGTGGACCCCTGCAGACTAGAAAAGCAGTAAAACAACAACAACATGGGCGTCCACACATCACTTCTACGCCTCACATTCATCGTCTATCTAAGCAACCGTGCAACGCATTCACGAAGCGTTTCGAGAGACGAAGCAGCTCACTGCCACAAGAAGCTGAGGGTTCGGCTACGTTATGCAACCCAGGGGCTGTCAATGGAAAACTTCCAGTTAAACTACCATTTTCACAGATGCTCAGCAAAGTGCAACACCGGCTACGCTAAGGGTTTTAATCTCTATAAGCTATACCTCAGTTTGCACGGACTACTCTTCTACAATACTTCTATATTTGCTGGTTTCTCTGCACTTTTGAGATAAAGAGTTGTTGGATTCTGACTGACAGAGTTGCTGCTTCCAACGACAACGAAGGGATTCTGTTCTATCATCGACCTAAAATGAAGACAGACTCAGCAGCCGCACGGTGAAATGTGTCCGTAAGATAACCGAAAGCTTCCAAAAGGTTTGAAATCCAGGAACAGACAGCCCACGAGGGAAGCGGTTGTCCAATCGGATGCAGCTCGGTTGTAGGATTTTGTAACTTGGTGTTGGTTTCTTGTTGGTTTATCGCGATGCTTTGCTAAAAATCCATCGCAAACCTCTGTGGTGACCCAGCACAACCTTTCACTCACGGGGTAACTGGTTGAACTAGTCGTCCTTCAGATGAAACACAAACCACGTTCTTTTCTCTTGGCGCGTTTTCAACGTTGTTCCAGGAACTTCTTGTCCAAAGAAGAACTGAACAAGTCATTACGCAAAAAACCGGCTCCTGTTCCTGCTTGTAAATCGAGTAATATTTGACTGCAGTGTGAAGTAATCTAAGTGGTTTTGCTTTATAGCACAAGCGCTGGCCTCGGGATGATCTGATCACAAGACCGCTGTAATGTAACACTATACAGCACTGCAGCCATTTAATGAGAGGGAGAGGAGGAGAAGAAGAAGAAAAAAAAAACAAGAGTGAGAAAGGGTGGAGGTTAGACGAGGTAAAACAAGAGACAGCAGCAGGAGCTTATTAGAGAGACCACAAAGCCGGGGGATGAAAGCTGCACTTACAGGGAGGAATAAATCTATAATCTATGAAAAGCAGGTGACAAACAGAAAAAGAAACGGCGAGAGATTGGAGAGGGAACAAAGTGTGCGAGATGAAAGAAGGGGAAAAAAGAAATTGCTGGGAAGGAGAACAAAGAAAGCCGCTATATGATCTGACAAGAGGAAGCAGAGAGAGATCGACAAAAACTGCAAACAAAGAGAACATTAGGGAAGTGGGAATGAGAGCCATGTGGCCGGTCTGGCGAAGCCTACATCCTCTCTGCTTATGAAAGCAGCCAGACTGCACGTGCTCGTGTGTGTTTGGACTCCCGGCGCTGGTCCGAAACAGGACAGGTTGTTCCTGGTTGTTCGGGAGGAGCGGCACGGCGGAGAAACAAAAAAAGAAAAACAGATTTGGCACAACAAGCTCCTTCCTGCTTCTTACTGTAGCACAGAGGTGTTGCTGCTGCTGCTGCTGAAATATCTAATCGGCTCATCACTGGACAGACTGTACTCTCAGGAAGATGTACGCACACACACACACACACACACAATAGATCTGGGGGAGAACAGTGTGTTCCTTTAGCCTTTATCATCACTCGACATGCCACATTCGCAGCGATGACAAGGCGCCTGGCGTCTCTTTTCACAGCGAGCCAAACACCCGCAGCAAATCCCTCGAATTACCGGCGTGCAGACGTGACTTATTATGTTATAAAGGATCGTGTCTAAACGCACGCCGACACACACAGGGGAGGCACAAACGTGGTGCAACCTGAGCAAAAAAACATGACAAACGATGACAGGTGTTTCTGAAATCCTTGACTGATCCGCTGTTTTTATATTTCACCCGTGAAGGAAAAGTTTTAGCAGCTTTTCCAACACGTGGGTTAACAAAAACACAACACAAGCTTTTCTCTGGTGGCAGATTCAACCGAAGAGACAAACTGTTTACCAGCAGATTGGAGTCGAAAACAAAGAAAGACTGAGGTTAAACTGTGCTAACACTCATATCAAAGAATTTCCTTTGAGATTAATGTTTTTATCTTGTCTTTTATCGCGTGAACTCTGGCGGACAATCAGGGAAAGACAACTAAATTTGACTTAAAGACAAGGTAACCAAGGTGTTTTTAGGCGTGAGCCGCTTGACCTCAGACAACCTGAACACAAGTTTCCTCTCCTGTGAGCTCATATCTGTGAATCAGACTTCAGCCAGTGACTTTAGATGTATGTTGCTTACATTAAATTGAAAGACTAAGCACAAAAATGACTCACAGCTCTTACTCCATTCATCAGAGTCGATTAAATTATAGTTAAAGCGAGCATTTCAACTGACTCTAACTTCATTTCGAACCAAATGCAACACAAAAAAACATCCCAGTGGACAAAACAACCTATTTTCAAATGGTTACTGACACGTTTGCCTGTAACTGAGGTCCTAAAATGGGTCAAGCTTGCAGAAATAAACCTTTTCAATTCCAAGTTCATGACACAAATCACTAAACTAGACTAAAGACATGCTGGGAAAGAACAAAGGTCTGACAATTTGCTTTGACTGAAGGTTTATCTGCATTTATTTTGGCAGAAAAACTAAATTCTTGCTGCTCCTGAGCATCTCGTTCTAGCACGAAATAAGCCGCTAAACATTAAACTGGACTTAAGACACACTGTTAAAGAAAAACATCTCATTAGTAGGTCTGATAACTTGTAGTGTTCCTAATTTTAGAGGAATAAATGAACCTCCTGAGTATCTTGCCTTTGCAAACGTTTAAAAAACATTAAAAAAAAAATAAATAAAACGGCGTCCAGACTGGGCCGTCCTCGCCCGGCGCCTCACGCCTTTATCCCCCTAACCCACTGGTCTGCTGAACCATATGTTTTCCTGCCTCCCACATGCTCACACTTCCAGCATGGCCCAATCCTGCCCGGGTCCACCAATCACGCACTGGCATTGGTTTAGGTAACCGTAGAAACAGCCAATGGGAGGACAGAGCCGGGATGACAACACGAGAGAGAGGCAGCGGACACGCGTGGGAGAGAACCGGCGAAAAGGTGGAAGGAGGGCGAGAAAAAAAAAGAATCGAGCAGAGAGATCCGACATGGAGCAAAGTGAGCGAAAAGAGAAATATATTGACGGCAGTGAGGTCCAGACGGGGAGATAACCGCTGGAAAGACGACAGATAGCGAGCATGCTTGAGGAGGTATAGATCCAGTGTTACACAACAACGTTAAGTAACTTAACAAGCGGCGCTCAACTAACGCTGCACATTCCCTGTGACACTTGTGCGATGCTTCTTTCACTTCTGGCCACCCTGTCTCTTTAAAGTCCCCATTTTTCCTCCATTCATGCCCTCTCCGGCTTCCATTCATGCCTTTTTTTTTTTTTTTTTGCCCCCCAAACAGGATGCAGCAGCAGCAGCAGCGGTGGTGGGAAACACCTTCTGCATCATCACATCAGCCGCAGAGCGTCTGTGCAGCACACCTCCAACTCCAACTTCTCGAGGTTATCCAATCGTCAGCGTCGGCACCTTACCTGCGAATGACTCGGATTCATCCAGGAGCAGCATGGTTGAAACGAGAAGATCTGGTCTCCTCTGCCTCCTTGTCTCAAAGCTGCCTCCTCTTTCAGGGAAAAAAATAAACTTTTGCAAAGGAAGTAACACGGAGGTTGACTTGTCCCTCCTCTTCTCAGCCTCGTCGGACACTCGGCTGCTCTCGAATCGACTGCCTCAGTGACTGACTGACTCACTGACTACCGGCCGACCGCTCTGCGAGCTCCTCTCTGAGTCAATAACACTGTGAATGTGAGGCAGAGGCAGGCAGGAGGGCTGGCAGCTGAAAAACTTACATAACCCTTCATGCTGGAGCCGGGGCCCCAGCGAGGGGGGACTCGAACGGGCCGAGCGTCTCCTCGTTCCTCCCCGCCCCTTTCAAAAAAACAGAAAAAGAAAAACCACTCCCCCATAACACGCTCAGGGATACAGAGCATGTACGGAAGCCGGCGCCCACACACTCACGCTGTTTATGTGTTTGCTGGTCAGTTTGAAACACCTCGGAGATCAGATAAGAGAGACAAACCGCTCGCTTCAGTTAAACCGCACCGAATCTAGCACGCGAACTCATTTCTCGCTCTGAAATCAGATCATCTGAGGCGGCGTGGACAGGTTTTAGTGACAGAGCCGCAGAGGAATGTGCAGAAAATCTGTGTCAAAGTCTCCGATAAACACCCATAAGACTACTTTAGACACATGACACCTGATCCGCGGAGTCCTTTATGCATGTGGGAAACTGAAAGGTGCACTCACACACAATCGCAGGACCTTTCTAAAGAAAAAAAAAGCCACGTTAAACAAGGTGGTTAAATATCCAGTGTGTCAAACAATAGCTGGTAAAGATAGACAACAACTCTGTGAACCGGTTTTCCCCCTAAATGCTGCATCGACTCCCACTCAGGACGTCAAAACAGGAAAAAAACATCGAAAAGTATCAGCAAACAAAACTACTTTTTAAGAAAGTTAACGCTTATAAATTATTAAACATCAGTGTTTTGTGGTATTTGTGGCAGGACACAACGCTCTGCTCATTAATAGAAAGTCTAAAACCAGCGTCCTCCAGGATTTTATTTGCAAAAACCGATGCACAATAAACAAAACTTTGCACGATTAATCCACACATTCCCGCACACTTCTTCAATCTCTTACTACTAACTAATCTACAGGTTAGTTTTTGTGCTTGGTCCAAAACTGTTTCTGCCAACTTCTGCTCCTCAAGAGATTTAAAAACTCCTTGTAATCGAGGGAGGGATACTTTCTTTTTTTTTTGTCAGGAACAAGGACGACTCTTGCGTCTATGTCATAACATGCCTTATGAAACCTCTGAGCCATGTTGAGCCCGAGCAGCTAAAGACTTGGCACTGCTACATATATAGGTCAGTATGATAGAAACCCCCTCCTCCACCTCCTCCTCTTCCTCCTCCGTGTGCCTACATACTGATAAAGACATACAGCAGCAGACGGGGGGGAAGATATGTGGTGAGAAAACCTGAGTGGAAAAAAGAAGCTACTCACCCATGTCATGTGGCTCAAAGTTTTTGTGTCTCCTACTCTGGTGAGAGATCCATACCTTCCTTCCTTCCTTCTTTGTTTCTATCTCAGCTGCTTTTGTGTTGCTGCTGCTTCACACTTCCCTCGCCGTCCCGTGTGTGTGTGTTTCAGTGTGAGTCCTGCAACATCTAACCTCGTCTCGCTGCTCTATCGGCGCTCCGACTGAGGACAGAAGGCCATTGGGACAATTACAAAACAATGAGTCGTTGAAAGCCGCCTCAGCCCGTCGCTCGTACCGGCAACCCCCCGCTCCTCCCCTCGTAGCACCGCTCGCAATGCTTTTCCTGTCTGCCTCCCCCCCACCACCACCATCCCTCCCCAACCCCCTCAGGCCAACACACACACACAGGAGCCGGTGCGTGATGTCACCCAGGCCACGCCCACCGCCGAGAATCTGCCTTAGGTAACAGGGGTAACGGGGTTCAACCAGGAGGGAGATGGACAAGAAGAGGGTGGGAGTGAAAAAAATAAATAAATAAAAAAAAGATAAAACATGTACTGCAGCTGTAAATTTTTTGTTGTCATTTTCATGAAATCCAGTGACGCATTTGAGCTGTGAGTGGCTTTAAAAATGGAATCAAACGGTAGATTATGAAGGCAAATTGTGCAAGAACGGGGAGGACGGAGGGAGGATGTGGACAAACAAGGAGGAATCGGTGTTGTTCTGGAGAAAAAGACGTGTTTTAAGAGGTCATTAGATAGACGGCGGGTTAAATAATGACCAGTTTCCTTTAAATGCTGCATCGATGAACACTCAGAAAGAAGCATAAACACTTCGTATAGCATCAGGAAACGACATGTCTTCACCTTTAAATCACACAAATATCGAAAAATATCTGCACCAGTGAGCAGAAACGTTATATATAGTCTTATAGAGTGTAAGAAAATGGTTCTCAAACATCTTTTATTTGCAAAAACTGATGCAGGATAAACTCAAATCTTGCACATCCTGAGGTGATTAATTAGCACATTCCTGCACACTGGATATATTTCTATTATGACTGTAATTCTGTTGATTTGTTGTCATTTAGCTGAAATCTTGTGACTCATCTGAGCTGTGACTGGCTTTAAATACAACAAAGCCAGTCAATCTAGCCTAATGATTTAAAATAATGATTAATCCGATGATGAAACATTAGCTTACGAAGGCAAATTCCACCAGAACGGAGAGTAAAGAGGACAAAATTATGACGAAATTCAGAAATGTATCCCAAATTTAATGGTTTTTTTTAGTTGGGATGTACTGAGACTTGACAAACTCAAATTTTAACGTGATTAACTGTGCATAATTGAACAAAAATGGAGGTAAAAAACATCAACAAATTGGCAACAAGAAATAGGAAGAGGAAGACGAAAAAAAAAAAAGTCAAATAAAATCATAGCAGTACTACTTTCTGGTCAGCGCACGCGTCGGAAACTTCTCGTTTGGCTTCGCGGGACGGTATCGCACGTCGTAAACACCAATAAACACGTCGTAAACGCTACAATTGCCGCAAACAGTAAAAAATTTCAACGACGCGTACCGGCGAAGACATGTCGAGGAAAAAAAACAAAAAAATCAATAGAAGGGAATCACAAAATGACAGAGGAAGCATGTGGGAATAAAAGAGGAGGAAGATGACTGACGGAAAGGATAAAATAGAGGAGCAAATGGATGAAACTGATAACGTTGATGGGAAACGGTGAGCGAACAAAACAATCCCCTGAAATAAGGGACCCGGTTTCAAACCCGGGATGTTCCTCCTGCATGGATCACTTTCCAAACAGAGGCTGGAAAGGTGCGATCCGGGCCTCACATGGCCACACACATTAACCCACATTGCCGAGGAGCCGGAGGGGGGAGGTGCAGCCGCCGGGTGAGAAACACAGAGAGAGAGGTGGGGGAGGAGAAAGCAGGAGAAAGGAGGCGGCGACAGCAGCAATGTGAAGCCCAGGAACTGCCTGGCAACATATGAACAGGCTCCTCACTCACTCACTCAGCCGCTCGCTCGCTGCTTCACCTTTGCCACACTACCACAGTTCTGCACCAGGCCACACCTCCAGCCAGGAAGCACGGCTCGCATTTCACTGTTTACATAACCTAGATTGACCAATAGGAGAGAGAGAGAGACAGAAACAGGGGGGAGAGAGAGATGGCATTTCACACACATTATTGGGAGATTTTTGTTGCTCGGAGAGAAGATTCGAGATCGTTCGCTTGAGTCCAAGTTACAAAACCACATCGCAAAGAGGAGAGGAATCCCAACTTGTTAAATCCTGCGTAGGCCAAAAAAAGAGCACTTTCACATCTAAACAATGTAAGCGCTCATTATTTAAAATATCAAAAATAAAGCACAAAACAAGGCATGTTGTCTCCACAGCAAGAAATAGTAAAAACAGACCGAACTGTTCCTTTTTTAAAAAATCTTTCCAAGACACTCGTCTCTCTGTACGTCAAAATTAAGCTTTAATTCACAATATTTCATCACGATCACTTTATTCTACATGTATGATTTAAGCTACGAAAGACAGTTAAAGAAGCACAACTTGTCAAATCCTCCGTAGGCCAAAAACAAAGCACTTGTACATGTAAAAAATGTAAGCGCTCAGTATTTAAAATATCAAAAATAAAGCGCAAACAAGGCCTGTTGTCTCCACAGCAAGAAACTGTAAAGACAGAGTTCTCAAATGACTCATCTCTAACGTCAAAGTTAAGCTTTAATTCACAATATTTCATCGTGATCACTTTATTCTACATATATGATTTAATCTCGTTTACTACAAAAGACAGTTAAAGAAGCAGAACTTGTCAAATCTTGTGTTTTTCCAAAAGAAAATAAAAAAAATTCTAAAAATAAAAAATGAACATTCTCACTGTGTAAAAAAAAGCATTAATGGAGTATTCATGCTGATATGTCATCATTTAAGCAGCATTGAAAGGCATGTTGTCGTCACAAAAACTGCCAAAATAGTCAGAATTGCACCATTATTAAAGCAAGAAATTGTAAAAATGTAAAGAATTGTCTGTTTTTTTAACTGTGACTTGCAGCTCCATCAGAAACCTTCATCAAATCTAAGCTTCAAATCGTGATATTTCATTAACATCACTTTATTTTACATCTGATTTGAGATCATTAACTTGAGGTAAAGTCAGGAAGCTAAACGTTGTTTAAAAATAGCAGCTTTTACATTTAACCAACCGTCAAATCCTGTGTACTCCAGGAAAGTACTTTTAATATAAAAAAACTTACAGTACAAAGTAAGTGTTCCACAGCAGCGTTTAATTATGTAGTTTGTGGCGTAATGTAGTTTAAAAGGTATGTCGTCTTTACAAAACTGCCAAAAGGACACTATTCACTATCAGCGCAAGAAACCATAAAAACAGAAAAATGTGTCTGTTGTTCAACTTTCCGACATCCCTCGAATGACTCAGCTGTGACATTTGGGTCCAGTTAGAACAATCAGCCAAATCTAAACATAAAGTCGTGATATTTCATCGCTTTATTCTACACATTTGGCCCAAAACAAATTACATACAGAAACCTGATTCTGCAAAAAAACAAAAAAACAAAACTAAGCTCCTCTGCCCAACTGAGAAGCCGTGAGTGACTGAGCTGTGACCAGCAGTCATGTGATGAAAATTCTTTTCAGTTGAGCAGAGGAAGAATTTACGGGGAGCCAAATGTGGTGAGGAGGGCCGCCAGCGAGATACCATTGTTCCGTCAGTTCAGGTCATTTGAGCCTAACGTTCTCCCTCAGCCACCTCAGGACGCTACAGTGAACCTCCGCCTCGACAGGCGACTGATCCAAAATATACAACCACACAAAT